CTGCTCCTTCAGACTGCTTTCCAATCATGGGGACTAATGCGGATGTGGACAATAATTGACACCAGCTTAAGATATGCCTCATTAATTGTATATTTAGATTTAGATTTGACTTTAGATTTTCATCATGGTGGGATTTGACCTCACTGACATGACCTGTAAATAATTCTGTTGTCAAATAAAGATTATTGTTTCACTGAACCCATTGTGTAATTGGTCAAATTATTTCTAAGACAAAGAACTAACACCTAATTTTAACACAATTAGTGCCTGTGCCCACATTTTTCTGGGCTCCTAGCTGTGGAATTCCTTCAATAAACCTCTCCACCTCATCCTCCTTTAAGACTTCCTCAAAATCTCTTTGTTCAAGATTCTGGTCATCTGCTGTAATGTCTCCTTAAGTGGCTCAATGTCATATTTTGTTTGTAAGTGCCTCTGTGAGCTGCCTTGGGGCAGTGTATTATTATGTAAGAGGTGCTATAAAAATACAAATTGTTGTTGGCTAGGCCCCAAGCTGAGGATAAGGCTTTTCTAAATCTCTCAATCTCTCTCTCCTTTAAGAGGCCATCTGCCACCTGCTGTTGACTAAGTGGCAAGGTCACCTGTCCTACTGTGGGCCAGTGTTCTCTGATAAACGCTCCTGTGCAAAGTATCCTGGTGACATTACTCCGTTAAAAGTGCTACTTAAATGTGAGTTGTTGTCCATGCTTCTTTCTTGAACCCCTTTCTGTGTTGTTGCAGGAAGCAGCTTTGTCCAGCTCTGATTGTTATCCTGGGCAACCCGATCCATGATAAGACCATCTCATCAGGTCACGTCGCCTCGCTGACAGAGACTGAGGCTTCTTTGACCGGGGTCTCCGATCACGGCCGCGGATCAGGCTGTTCGTCCACGGCGCCAGCACTCATTGGACCGGTGGCACGCACAATCTACTACATAGCGGCGGAGTTAGTGCGGCTGGTTGGCTGCCTGGAGTCACTGAGGCCAGTCCTGCAGTCCCTTTACCATCGCCTCCTGCTGTATCCCCCACCACAACATAGAGTGGAGGCTATCAAGATCATGAAGGAGGTGGGTTGGTGTCTTTTATTCCACAGGTGAGGCGATGGCCTAGTTGGTATCAGCTGCTGGACTTTTAATCCAGAGACATCCTGGGGACCCAGTTTCGAATCCTACCGTTGGCAGATGGTGGCATTTGAATTCAGTAAGCATCTGGAACTAAGAGTCTAATGATGACCATGGAACCATTCCCCATTGTTGGGGAAAAGTCCATCTGGTTCACTAATGTCCATTAGGGAAGGAAATTGCCCTCCTTACCTGGTCTGGCCTATATGTAACTCCAGACCAACAGCAATATGACTTTAACTGACCTCTGGGCAATTAGGGATGGGCAATAATTGCTGGCCTTACCAGTGACACCCACATCCTATGAATAAACAAAAACAAAGGAAGGAATCCCACTGCCCTTTCCCATTCTGGGCGTGTAGACGTGACTCCTGCCCCTCCCACTCACCAACATGGTTCACTCTGAACTACACCCCCACCCCAAGTGACCTCGTGAAGAGCTGAGTTGGGTTGAGGGATGATTGTTGACCAAGGGAGAACACCTCTTATCTTGGTTGAAAGAGCAGACCTGGGATTTTTACGTCTGCCTGAGAGGAACACACAGGCCCTGAAATATGGCATCTCTGGCAGGGCAGTACTGTCTCAGTGTGGGCACTGAGAGCCTTTGCTCCAATTTTGTGCTCAAAGTTCCCATATGAGGACTTGAAACCATGACCAAGAGACTCCAAGGCAAGGTGGCATCCAATGGTGAGTAGTTAGGACCGTGCTTTTTGTTTTAACTGTGTTAACTCAAATCCATGTCTATCGGGACAGGTCCTAGGTAACCCCCAGCGCCTGTACGATCTTGCTGGCCCAACCGTATATGAAGGGGAAACCAAGAGAAGGTCCAGCCAGAAGAGAAAATCTCACCTGGATCTTCACAAGATGTAAGTCACGCGCTGAATGGATCTGTCCTGTATTTTGCTACTGGTTTATTTCATCAACAGTTTCCTCTTCTGTGTGTTAGGGGAGCTGTTGGTACAATGGGAATGTTGCTGGCCAAGTAATCTACAAGCTGGAGACCCTCGCTAATGCTCCATGAACATGGGTTCAAATCCCAACACTACCCTTGCTGTATTATGAATCCAGTTATAATCCTGGAATGCAAAAGTGATCCTAGTGATTGTTGTAAAAACCCATCTCGTTATTCAGTGCCCTTTAGCAAAGGAAATCTGCCATCTTTAACTTGGCCTGCATATGGACAAGGAAGAAGAATAGACCTATTGGCCCTTCGCTCCTGTCCCGCCATCCAATAAGGTCATGGCTGCTCTGATTTTAACCTTAACTCTACATTCCCACAAACCCCCGATAATCTTTCATCCCCTTGGTCATCAAGAATCTATCCATCTGTGCCTTAAAAACAATGAAAGTTTCTACATCTGCTGCTTTTTGAGGAAGGGAATTCCAAAGACTCGCAACCTTCTGAGAGAAAATAAAGCATTTCCTCTTCTCTGTTTTAAATGGGCAATGCCTTGTTTTTAAGCTATGACCCCTTGTTCTAAATTGGCCCATGACAGGATGCATCCTTTCTACATCCACCTGGTCAGGGTCTTATATGTTTCAATTTAGTCATCTCTGACTCTTCTAAACTCCAGGGGATACAGGCCCAGCCTGTCTTTCCACATTAGGCAATCCACTCATTCCAGAGATTAGTCTAACAAACCTCTTCATATGGCTGCATACCCACAAACTGCCCTTGCAAGCCCCTCAGTTTGAGGTTATTAGGGATGAACAATAAATGCTGGCCTTGCCGGCGGCTTCCACATCCCGTGAAACAATAATTATAATGTTAAGGTTATTTCCCCATGTCCTGCATTTCCCCACCAGAAGTAATAGTTTATCTAACACTCAGCAAGGCTCCTTTGATGGCATCTTCCAAACCCACAACCACTTACGTCTAGGGGGACAAGGGCAGCAGATACATGGGAACACCACCCCCTGCCAATTCCCCTCCAAGTCACACACTATCCTGACTTAGAAATATATCACTACTCTTTCAATGTCACTGGGTCAAAATCCCAGATTTCCCTCCCTAACTGCATTGTCAGTCTACCTATGGCTGACGGACCGAATGAAAATCTGGGATACATCACCTGGGAGGGTAGTTGAGGTGGGAAACATCACAACTTGTAAAAAGTACTTGGATGAGCTCTTGAAATGTCATAACATTCAAGGCTATGGGCCTAGTGCGGGAAAGCGGGGCTCGTGCAGGTTTAGTGTAGCTTTTGCGGTACAAGCTGGATGGGTCGAAGAGCCTGTTGTGTACTGTATGATTCTCTGAAAAGAAGAGCGAGGGTTCTTGAGGATTGACTTTTTACGCTGTTACACTTTTCTTTCTCACCAGCATCATGGACGGAATGACGGAGGCCTGTGTCAAAGGAGGGATTGAGGCCTGCTACGCCTCAGTGTCTTGCGTCTGCTCCTTGCTGGCGGCCCTTGATGAGTTGAGCCAGGGGAAGGGGCTGAGTGAGGAGCAGGCGCGGCACCTGCTGAAGCACTCGGAGGAACTGAAGGGTGGCACCGAGTCCACCCGGGAGTCCATGGAGATCAGCGAGGCCGACTTCAGGTGGCAGAGGCACATCCTGTCGGCTGAGCATGCTCACTGGGAGTCCAGCAACGAGAAGAGCCCCGACATCAGCATCAGCGTCACCACGGAAACCGGACGCACCACCCTAGAGGAGGGCATGGGGCAGACCACCCCGGAGGAGAACCCCCCGCTGCTGAGAAACCACTTGGATTACTCTGCGGGCCTTGATGCTAACGAGGCACTGAGTAAAATGCCGGCACTGGGATTGGAGCAGGCGGAAACGCTGGAAGGAATCCATCGAAACAGCATGCACGCCTATCCCGATTTAGCCAACTTCCTGTCAGTCGACCCCAGGGTGAACAAACCGCCTGGTTCCCGATACAGCGAGAGTAACTTCAGCATTGACGAGCAAGACATTTCCAGGACTGAGTTCGACTCCTGCGATCAGTATTCGATGGCAGCCGAGAAAGACTCGGGCAGGTCAGACGTCTCGGAGATCGGTTCCGATAACTGTTCCCTGGCGGACGAAGAGCAGACGCCTAGGGACTGCCTGGGTCACAGGTCGCTGCATGGAGCCACCCTCACACTGAAGGTCCTAAAGAACCAGGAGGCTGACCAACACAGTGCCCGGATATTCGTCCAGTCTGTTGTCACGCTCCTCCCTCGCCTCCTGTCTCTCCAGAACACGGAGGAGGTTGACTCATCCCTGCAGAGTTTTGCCTCTACGTTTTGCTCGGGTCTGCAGTCAGGTATCCCACACCACTGCCTCCACCCCACACAACCCTCAACCCTTTTGACTGGCCGAGCGGTGAAATCTGTAAGCCATTTGTGGCCAACTCAATTTTTAAGCTGTCAGTGTAAAACCAGATGGGGCCAAAGACAGGAATGAGAGTAGATGGCTCCCACCTCTTACATTGGTCTGTGTGAGGACAGAATGTCTTGGTTCATGTTGCACTCCTGAGACTGGACATTTAATCTAGGCTGTCACTTACTCCAGTGCAATGCTGAAGATGTGCTGCACTGTCCGAGCTACCGTCTTTCAGACGAGAGGTTAAACCAAGGCTCTAGCACTCCTTTTAGGTTGACATAGTATCCCTACTGTATGGAAGCAGGCCATTTGGCCCATCAAGCCCACACTGACCTTCCAAAGAGCATCACAACCAGACCCAACTCCACTGCCCTGTCTCCACATTTCCCATGACCAATCCACCTAACCTGCACATCTTTGGACTGCGGGAGGAAACCAGAGCACCCGGAGGAAACCACGCAGACACGGGGAGAATGTGCAAACTTCACACAGACAGGGTTGAATCGAACCCGGTTCCCTGGCACTGTGAGGCAGCAGTGCTAAGCACTGAGCCACCGTACCACCCCCATAAAAGATCCCCTTGAAACCTGGAAAGATCCCCTTGAATCTCATCATTTTGGTGACTACTGGGGGTTGGGAATTGGTGGGGAGGCCCCAGTGTCTTGGTTCATATTTATCTGTTATCACTTAGACAGATTAGTTTGGTAATTTCTCTCATTATTGTTCTGTGCTTGCTGTGCATAAATTGATGGCCGTGCTTTTTACCGTCGTGATTATACTGCACAAGAACTTCATATGTTGAATTAGACAGCAAAAGCCTTCCATAGATTTACAAAGATTTTGTTGTGAATCGATAGTATAGCACAGACTCCATTTTCTATAGTTTAGCACAGTCCCGAGCTTCCACCTTTCCCTTCTATTTCCCTGCTTTGTCCTGAAGGCATCCCACATTGGGGAAGGATTCAGCTGTACTTTGTCCTTTATTAAAACGTGAAACCGCTTTCTAGAGGCATTGTAACATTGACTAGAAGGGAAAACAAGGGGAACTAAATCAGAATGCCATTGGATGAGAAAATAATTCACCCCAGTCCCTATGATGCCCACCTAACCCAAAAATATTCTGGAATGCCAAGCTCTTTGAGGGCACTGGGGCTCAGATGTACCCACAAAAGTGAGGTGGGAAGTTCAGGAACCTGGACCCCTTCTGTAGTTCTGAGGAAGGGTCAACGGACCCGAAACGTTGACTTTGATTTTTTCTTCGCAGATACTGCCAGATCTGCTGAGCTTTTCCAGCAACTTCTGTTTTTGTCTCTTCTATAGCCCACTGCCTTGGCCTATTGATGGCTACTTTAGCCACAGCGAGGTTCTCCAACCTGCCCACCCTCAATCTCACCGAGTACCTAAAGATCTGGAGAGTGGGGCTGAAATGCAAGCAGAGGGACAACAACAAATTCTTTAAATAATTAAAAAGGGGCTGCAGTTTCCCAGAACCAAATACATGTGTCCCACGGATTCCGCAGCACCTCAAAAGAGGAGGGCCGTGAGTCCGTGAACCATCTTATTCTACATTTGCAGGGCACTGCTGTGTGCAACAGCCTTCACCTCAGGTCCCTGATGGAAAGTGAGGAGACAGGGATGTGATCACTCTGGAGAGGGTGAAAAGGGGCTTTTTACCAGGATGTTGCCTGGGCTGGAGAGTTTCGGTTATGAGGAGAGATTGAATAGACTATGATTGCTTTCCTTCGAGCAGAGGAGACATGAGAGGGGACGTGAGTGAGGTGTATATGAGGGGCACAGATAGGGTAAACAGGAAGAAACTTTACCCCTTGATGGAGGGAGCAGTGACCAGGGGCACAGTCCTAAGGTAAAGGGCAGGAGGTTCAGAGGAGATGTGAGGAAAAGAGCCTTTTTACACAGGGGGTGGTGGGAGTCTGGAACTCACTGAGTGTAAGCGTGATAGAGACAGAAACCCTCATCACATTGAAGAAGTATTTAGAGGTGCACTTGCAATGCCAAAGCATACAAGGCTATGGCCCAAATGCTGGGAAATGGGATTAGAATAGTCAGGTGGCTGTTTTTGGCCAGCGTGGACACGGTGGGCTGAAGGGCCTTTTTCTGCACCGTTGATCCCTATGAATCTGTGTCTCTTCCATTGGGTGTCCTCACTGCCTGTAGGCAGAAAGGAAATGCCAATGTGTGTCTGGGTGGCAGGTAAAGGATAAGAAGTGGATGGTGTTGGTGGCCTGTACAGGAAACTCCTCCATGCCACGCAGACAGAACTTATCTGTTACCTTTATATTAAGCCACCAGCAATCACCCGTGTTATGAAAGGTACAGCAGTGCAACCATAACAGAAGGGAAGTGGTGGGAAAGAGAGAGGGGTTTGAATTAAAATGAAGTTGGAGGAAGGGAGATAAAGCACTCCAAACCCCATGATGCCAACCCTATAGAACTCTCCTCTTCAATTACAAAGCCCATGAGGCATCTCAATTAACTCTGGAGCTGATCTATTTGAGCCTTAGAGGGACACACATTTCCAACTCTATGCTTAACTGGCTGCAAAGTGCTTTGGAACTTCATGAGGTCATAACAGGTGCTATATAAAGGCAAGTATTTTCTTTATTGGTCCACACTTATGCTTAATTATAGATTGGGGGTTGGTTAGTTCAGTTGGCTGGATGGCTGTTTTGCCATGCAGAGTGATGCCAACAGCATGGGTTCAGTTCCCACTCTGGCTGAGGTTACCATAAAGGGCTTTTCTGCTTAACCTTGCCCTTCACCTCTGGTGTAGTGGCCCTTAGGTTAAACCATCACCGGTCATCTCTCTTTAAAGAAAGAACAGAACTGTGGTGATTTTTATTATAGATAATTTAATAGAATCATGTTAGAGTCAGTTACAGAGTAAATGGCTGCTTCATTATTTAACCCTTAAAGTGCTTATCCTTGTAATAAAAGAAGACGAGAGATATTGAGGCTCTGACCAGAAAAAGGGAGACATGGCTCAGGTACAGGCAGCTGGGATCAAGTGAATCCCTGGAGGTATATGGGGGATACAGGAGTTTGCTGAAGAAGGAAATCAGGAGGGTGAAAAGGGGGCACGAGATAGCTTTAGCTGAGATGATTAGGGTGAATCCAAAGAAATTCTTTAAGTATATTAAAGGATAAAGAATAACTAGAGAGAGAATAGGACCCCTCAAGGACTAAAGAGGACATGTATGTGTGGAACCGCAGGAGATGGGCAAGGTCCTCAATGAACATTTCTCCTCTGTGTTTACCGTGGAGAAAGAAATGAAGACTTGGGAACTTGGGGAAGTTCATAGCGATATCTTGGGGACAGTCCATATCACGGTAGAGGTGTTGTTGGACGTATTAGAATATATGAAGATGGATAAATCTTCTGTTCCTGATCAGATAAATCCAAGAACCCTGCAAGAGGCTAGAGAAGAAATTGCAGGGACCCTGGCTGATATATTTGCATCATCGTTAGCCTTGGGTGAGGCCCCAGAAGACTGGAGGGTAGCGAATGTTGTGCCCTTATTCAAGAAGGGCTGCAAAGAAAAACCTGGGAATTATAGACCAGTAAGCTTAACATCTGTAGTAGGTAAGTTACTTGAGAAGATTCTGGGGGATAAGATACACATGCATTTGGAAAAACAGGGTTTGATTAGGAGTAGACAGCATGGCTTCATGCATGGGAGATCATGCCTCACAAATTTGTTCGAGTTCTTTGATGAAGTGACCAAGAAGGTCGATGAGGGCAGGGTGGTAAATGTAGTCTATATGGATTTCAGTAAGGCCTTTGATGAGGTTCCACATGGTAGGGCTGCTCTGGAAGATTAGATTGTGTGGAATCCAGGGAGAGCTGGAAAATTGGATACACAATTGGCTTCATGGTAGGAAGCAGAGGGTAATAGTGGAAGGATGTTTGTTGGACTGGAGGCCTGTGGCTAGTGGTGTGCCTCAGGGGTTGGTGCGAGGCCCATTGCTGTTTGTTATCTATATCGATGATTTGGATGAGAATGTACAAGCATTATTGGTAAGTTTGCAGATGACATTAATATAGGCGGTATCATGGACAGTGAGGAAGGTTTTCAGAAATTACAGCAGGATCTTGATCAGCTGGGGAAGTGGATCGAGAAATGGCAAATGGAGTTTAATATAGATAATGTGAGGTGTTGCATTTTGGAAAATCAAATCAAGGTCGGAGTTTCATGGGAATAGCAGGGCCTTAAGGAGTGTAGTGGAACAGAGGGACCTTGGAGTTAGGGTGCATGGTTCTCTGAAAGTGGAGTCACAGGTAGACAGGGCAGTGAAGAAAGCTTTTAGCACACTGGCCTTCATCAGTTAGGGCATTGAGTACAGAAGTAAGGAAGTTATAATACAGTTGTACAGGACATTGGTGAGGCCGCACTTGGGGTATTGTGTTCAGTTTCGGTCACCTTGCTGTAGGAAGGATGTTATTAAACTGGAAAGAGTGCAGGAGAAACTTACAAGCATGTTGCCAGGACTCAAAAGACTGAATTATAGGGAGAGGTTGAACAAGCTAGGACGTTTTTCTTTAGAGTGTAGGAGACTGAAGGGGGATCTTATAGAAGTGTATAAGATCATGAGAGGCATGGATAGGGTGAATACATTCAATCTTTTTCCATGGGTTGGGGAATTGGGGACTAGAGGGCATCAGTTTAAGGTAAGAAGGGAAAGAATACATGGGAACCTGAGGAACAACTTTTTGCACAGAGGGTGGTATGCATATGGAATGAGCTGCCAGCGGAAGTGGTTGGGGTGAGTACATTAGGGCATTTGGATGAATACATGGATAGGAAAGGTTTAGAAGGACATGGGCCAAGTGCAGGGAAATGGGGTTAGCGTGGATGGACATTTTGGTCAGCATGGACCAGTTTGGGCTGAAGGGCCCGTCTTCGTTCTGTGGAACTCTATGACTCTATGATAGTTTAAGTCATTGTGTAATCAGTCAAAGCTGTACGTAGACCAGCGATAGATTGTTCCAAGCTGTTGGTAGCACTTTGACAGTTGGTAACTGTCTATAGTGGTGTATGCTTACTCAGTTCTGAGTGAAAGGTCATCAGTTCGAAGACTGGAGTACGTATTCCGGTTCCCATTCTTTGTGTGGATGCTGAGGGAGTGCTGCACAGTCAGAAGTGGATGAGACATTAAATCGAGGAATATCTTCTCTTTCAGGTGGACGTGAAAACTCCATGACATTATTTTAAAGACAAGTGAGAGAGTTCTCCCTCGTGCCCTGGTCAAAATTCACCCCTCAGTCAACATCGCTGCAGCAGATAATCTGGTTATCGTCACGGTGCTGTTGTGGGATCTTGCTGTGTGCATATTGGTTGTCACGTTTGCTGCATGACAGCAGTGACCTCACCACAAAAGTGGCTGCAAAGCACTTTGGGAAATCATAGGTAGTTATATAAATGCAGGTTCTGGCTTTCTGATGGAAATGTCTGAGGTACAGCAGTACACTCACTGAACCCAGCGAGTTCAACAGAACATCCTCCAATCCACTCCCCCCACCCCGAGCCACTCCAAAGAGGGAATGGTTTCCCCATTTTATTTCATGATGGTAACATCGATTGTGAGTGTCCTGCCATTGCTCAGCAGCTGATGTGGTGACAGACTCGTGTGTGTCTATGTCTGTTCTAGAGCTGTTACATTCTCCGGGCATCGACGGCAGTGAGGGTCCCTGCTGCCAGACACTGATGAATGCAGATGGATTGTACCTGGTGGCTTTCCACGCGCTGTCACTCAACCTCAAGCTGATCGCCTGTGATTACTACCGAAAAAAACCGGCACCCGTCCCTGCATCATTGGTAAGCACTTGGTCTTTGGGTTTTGGCCTTTGGATTAAACAGCACCTCATGCAGGAGGGTTTCCCCCTTGGCTTCAGAGTCTAATGGGGTGGTGGTGTTGGGGGTTATTTTATGTGCTGATGAGACGTGAGCATTGCTGGCTAGTCCAGCATTTATTGCCCATCCCTAGGTGCACTTGAGAAGGTAGTGGTGAGCTGCCTTCTTGAACCGCTGCAGTCTACCTGTTGTAGGTAGACCTACAATGCCATTTGGGAGGGAATTCCAAGATTTTGATCGAGTGACGGTGAAGGAACAGTAATATATTTCCAAGTCAGGATGCTGAACGACAGGGAGGGGAACTTGTAGGGGGTAGTGTCCTCATGTATCTGCTGCCCTTGTCCTTCTAGATGGAAATAGTTGTAGAAAATGCTGTCAAAGGATCTTTGGTGAATTACTTCAGTGGAACTTTAGTTTGGAATTATATTCAGCATGGACCTGTTGGACCAGAGGGTCTGTTTCCATGCTGTATGACCCTATGACTCTATGACACTGAAGTTAACTGACAGGGAGTCTCCTTGAACTGGTGTTTGGGTAAATTCCAGTTGGTCTCTAATAATGGGCCATGTACTGTTATCCCCCAACCCCATGATGCCCCTTCTTTGTGCCCACATTATCTGTGTCTCCCAGTAGTCCCAGTAACAATGTCTAACAAACGATTGAAACATGGACATAATTACTATTATGCAATAAACTACATCTTGTTTAAGACAGGGTCCTCTTCTTCTTAAGACTCCTAGTGGTTGTTGGTTGTTCCACTGCAAACCAGTGTTCCAGTCCAAGAGAGAGGACTTGTGGCAGCTTCCTTCTAACTACAAAGAGCACAAACTCCAACTAAAAGTCTCCACGAAGACCAGAACAGTTATTCCTGTTGAGAGTATGTGCTGACCCTCTGTGTATAGACTCACCCTGCTGCCATTTATTTTAAGGTACCAAGCACCAGGGGGCTAGACCTAATAACTGTTGTTGATAAATATGATTGTACAGTGGTTTTGAGGTGCTCGGTTGTGTTTCTGCAGAAGGAGTTTGTGAGGCAGGTTCAGAGCAGTCGAGTTCTGATGGTGCTGTCACAGGCCTGGATCGAAGAACTTTACCACCAGGTGCTTGACCGGAACCTGCTGGGTGAAGCTGGGTACTGGGGAACGGCAGAGGAACACGGTCTGCCTTTCATCACTATGTTAACCGGTGAGTTGTCCATCCATCATTCTTAACCTCATGGAATGGGATAAAGAATGAATCTTCACCGAAATGAATTATGGAAGAGTATGTGGGAAAGTTCTGCCTCCCTGCTGTCTATTGCTTACCACTTTGGTGAATGTGCTTTCAGCCACCCATGTTTTATATCCTAAAATTCCTTCTCTAAATCTTTCCATCTCTCTACCTTCTCCTCTCTTAATGGTGCTCCCTAAAACCCGCCTCTTTTCACCAGCTTTTTGGTTACCTTTTCCGGTATCTCCTTATGTTGCTCCGTGTCAAGTTCTGGGTTCTCATCTCTCCTGTGAAGGAAGCATTTTGGAATGTTTTGCGATGTTAAAAGAATGAGGGAATGCAAAGTATTGTTGCTGTAGATGGGGACAGGATACAGTTCCATCTAATGGCTACGCCCTGCACCTATGCTGGTTCTGTTTACATTGGACATTCCTATTATACTTTCACTGTACCTCGTACCACAACACTAGAACAGGGCATTGGTGCCACACACATCATTGTTATGCACCGGATATAGGAACTTGGCAACCACTTTATCCATAGGCACATGTGTAATTCACCACCATGCACTAATGTCTGGTCTCCACCTATTTACTTACCTGATCTCAGAACCCCACCTTTTCCGCTTCATTCTCCATTCCTTACCCTGCACCTCTCACACTTCACTTGCCATACCCTCGCCTCTTTGCTTGCCGTCCTGCTTGCTGTTATACACACGATCTGAACAATTCAGTAGAGATTTCACATTCATACCTGGAGCCTGCACTGCTGTAAGTGCCTGGAATTCATTTTATACTCATAATATGTGCAAGATAACTATCTTCACTTAATCCTTGCTTTAGAAATCAGGAGATACTAAGGAGTGCAGATGTTTAAGTCAGAGTAGATACTGCTTTAGAAATCAGCCTGCTTTTATCAGGACACATTGCTGTAATTTCAAACATGAGTTATTGTAGCATTAGTTCAGAGACTCTGCAGCCTCTTTGGCTGAGAAAGCCTCTTTGGTGTTGTGTGTGATATAAATAGAATCTACAGACTTCAATCTAGACTGTTTAAATAGATTCTGCGGATTATAGTTATGCACTGTTTAATTAGATCCTAAAGACTATTGTCGGATTCTGGATAATCCAAGATGGAGGACGGGAAAAAGTTGTGGCTGTAAGAGCTGCTCCTTTTTTGAGGTATTTTCAGTGTTGGAGCTGATTTCCTTGAATTCTAGGAGCCATAATTACTGTTTTATAAGCTATTACATTGTTTTGGAAGTTTGGGAAAGAAAAGATCAAAACAACGGCATTTTAAAAAGTAGGAAGACAGACAAAGGTAGTGACCACATAGGCAGTGAATCAAACAGAGAAAGTAACCTACACTGGTGTCTGACCCAGCAGTGAATCTGCACAGCTAACTGTTCTGCTGTTTGATTTCAAGTATCCCTGGACATCGGAGTTCATCTAAGAAAAAAATTAACAAACTGCAAAATTCAGCACTGACCTTGGAGAAACCTGTGTGAGAGAGTTCACAGCAGGGGAGCAGCTGAGTGGCTTTTAAAGTGTAACCTTACTGTTTTTTTTCCTAAATGCACAATAGTGAGTAGTGTGAGTTCTTTTTTGATTAAATGTTTTATTGAGATCTATCTCTTGATTAAACTTTAAAAATATAAAATGTAGGTACTAAGTTAGCCTGGAGCAGTGTTTTTTAGAGCAATAAGACTGTGCTATTTTCTGGGTCTGTAGATTGTTAAGGTGCAAAGATGGCCTTTTGTAGAGTGATGTGCTCTTCCTGTCAGATGTGGGAGATTAGGGAGAGTTTCCATGTTACCGATGACTATGTCTGCAGGAAGTGTGCTTGTCTGCAAAAGCTCACGGATCGCAGGATCGGTTGGAGAGGTAGTCAGGGGCAATGAGGAATCTACAGGAGCTGGGGGATGTGATGGATGGTAGTTGCAGGAAAGGAGATAAACCGAAGATACAGTCAGGTGGATGGGTTACCTCCAGGAAAGATAGGAGAGGGAGAAGGGTGGTGCAGGAGTCTCCTATGTCTATCTCCATCTCAAACAAGTATGTTGTTTTGGAAAATGTAGGCAGTGATGGACTCTCAGGGGAATGACAGCCAGGTTTCTGATACCGGGACTGGCTCTAATGTAATGAGGGGTACATCAGGTTCCAAGCTATTGATTGCGATAGGGGACTCTCTAGTCAGAGGCACAGACAGTCGTTTCTGTGGTTGAGAGCAAGAAATCAGAATGGTGTGTTGGCTCCCCGGTGCCGGGATCAAGGATATCTCGGAGAGGGTGTAGAATATTCTCAAAGGGGAAAGGGTCCAGCAGGAGGCCGTTGTACGCATTGGAACTGATGACATAGGAAGAGAAAAGGATGAGATTCGGAGGAGACAGTATAGGATGTTAGGCAGGAAATTAAAAAGGAGATCCTTGAGAGTAGTAATAGCTAGAATACTCCTGGTGCCACGAGCAAGTGAGGGTAGGAATAGGAGGATGATTGCGTGGCTGAGGAGCTGGTGCAGGGAAGAAGGATTCACATTTTTGGATCTTTGGAATTTCTTCTGGGATAGAAGCGACCTGTATAAGAAGGATGGATTGCAACTGAATTGGAAGGGAACAATATATTGGTGAGAGACTTGCTAGAGCTGTTTGGGATGATTTAAACTAGTAAGGCGGGGTGGGTTGGGGTGCAGGAAGATAGTGAGGAAAGAGATCATTCTGAGACTGGTACAGTTGGGAAAAGGAGCAAATCAAACAGTCAGGGCAGGCAGGAACAAAGCAGAGAACAAGGTAGGACTAATAAATTAAACTGCATTAATTTCAATGCAAGAGGCTTAATAGGTAAGGCAGATGAACTCAGGTCATGGTTGGGAACATGGGACTGGGATATCATAGCACTTACAGAGACAAGGCTCAGGGATGGACTAGACTAGAAACTTAATGTTCTATGGTATAGATACGATAGAAAGGGGAGCAAGAGAGGAAGGGGACTGGCGTTTTTGATTAGGGATAAAATTACAGCTGTACTTACGGAGGATATTCCTGTGAATACGTCCAGGGAAGTTATTTGGGTGGAAATAAGAGGATGATCACCTTATTGGGATTGTACTATCGACCCCCGCAATAGTCAGCGAGAAATCGAGAAACAAATTTGAAGGAGATCTCAGTTATCTGTAAGAATAATAGGGTGGTTATGGGAAGGGATTTTAACTTTCTAAACATAGACTGGGACTGCCATAGTGTAAAGGGCTTGGATGGAGATGAATTTGTTAAGTGCATACAAGAAAATGTTCTGATTTAGTATGTGGATGTATCTACTAGTGAAGGTGCAAAACTTGACCTACTCTTGGGAAATAAGGCCAGACAGGTGACTGAGGTGTCAGTGGGGGAGCACTTTGGGGCCAGAGACCATAATTCTGTTAGTTTTAAAATAGTGATGGAAAAGGATTGACTGAATCTAAAACTCAGTTCTAAATTGGAGGAAAGCCAAGTTTCACGGTATTAGGCAAGAACTTTCAAATGTTGGTTGGGGGTGGATGTTCACAGGTAAAGGGATGGCTAGAAAGTGGGAAGCATTCAATAATGTGATAACGAGAGTCCAGAGACAGTATGTTCCTGTCAGTGTGCAGGGCAAGACTGGTAGGTGTAGGGAATGCTGGATGGCTAAAGAAATTAAGGTTTTGGTCAAGAAAAAGAAGGAATCATATGTAAGGTATAGGCAGCAGGAATCGAATGAATCCCTTGGAAGAGTATAAAGGCAGTAGGGAGTATACTTAAGAGGGAAATCAGAAGGGCAAAAATGGGACATGAGATAGCTTTGGCAAATAGGGTGAAGAAGAGGTTAAGGGATTCTACAAATACATTAAGGATGAAAGGGTAACTAGGGAGAGAATGGGGTCCCATAGGGCCGCTTATGTGTGGAACCTCAGCAGGTGGGGGAGATACTAAACAAGTATTTGCATCATTGTTTATTGTGGAGAAAGATATGGAAGATATCAAACATGGGGAAAAAATAGCAACATCTTGAAAAATGTACCTATTACAGAAGAGGAGATGCTGGAAAGCTTAAAACGCATAAAGGTGGATAAATCCCCGGGACCTGATCAGGTGTACCCTAGAACTCTATGGGAAGCTAGGGAAGAGATTGCTGGGCCCCTTGCTGAGATATTTGTGTCATCGATAGCCACAGGTGAGGTGCCAGAAGACCAGAGTTTGGCTAACATGGTGCCACTACTTAAGAAAGGTGGTAAGGAAAAGCCAGGGAACTATAGGCTGGTGATGCTAACATGGGTGGTGGGCAAGTTGTTGGAGAGAATCCTGAGGGACAAGATTTACATGTATTTGGAAAGGCAAAGACTGATTAGGGATTGTGAATATGGCTTTGTGCATGAGAAATTGTGTCTCACTAACTTGATTGAGTTTTTTGAAGAAGTAACGAAGAGGATTGATGAGGGCAAAGCGGTGGATGTGAGCTATATGGACTTTTTGTTATTTATATAAATGATTTGGATGTGAACATAGGAGGTACGGTTAGTTTTAGTAAGTTCACAGATGATACCAAAATTGGAGGTATAGTGGACAGCGAAGAAAGTTTCCACAGAGTACACTGGGGTCTTGATCAGATGGGCCATTAGGCTGAGGAGTGGCAGATGAAGTTTAATTAGGTAAATGTGACGTGTTGCATTTTGGAAAGGCAAATCAGGGCAGGACTTATACACTTAATGGTAAGGTTCTGGGGTGTGTTGCTGAACAAAAAGACCTTGGAGAGCAGGTTCATAGTTCCTTGAAAGTGGAGTCCCAGGTAGATAGGATAGTGAAGAAGTCATTTGGTATGCTTGCTTTTATTGGTCAGGATATTGAGTACAAGAGGTTATGTTGTGGCCATACAGGACATTGATTAGGCCACTGTTGGAATATTGCGTGCAATTCTGGTCTTCCTGCTATAGGAAGGATGTTGTTAAACTTGAAAGGGTTCAGAAAAGATTTACAAGGATATTGCTGGGGTTGGAGGGTTTGAGCTATGGGGAGAGGCTGAATAAACTGGAGCTACTTTCCCTGGAGCATGGGAGGCTGAGGGGTGACCTTACAGAAGTTTATGAAATCATGAGGGGGGTGGATACGGTAAATAAACAAGGTCTTTTCCCTGGGATGGGGGAGTCCAACACTAGAGGGCACAGATTTAAGGTGAAAGTGGCAAGATTTAAAAGGGACCTAAGGGGCAACTTATTCACACAGAGGGTGGTGCATGTATGGAATGAGCTGCCAGAGGAAGTGGTGGAGGCTGGTACAATTACAACACTTAAAAGACATCTGGAAGGCTACATGAATAAGGAGGGTTTAGAGCGATATCGGCGAAATGCTGGCAAATGGGACTGGATTTATTTAGAGTATCTGCTTGGCATGGATGAGTTGGACCAATGGGTCTGTGTCCATGCTGTACATCTCTGTGGCTCTATGACTCTAGTGGTCTATTTAAGTAGATTCCATAGACTGTTGGCTGTATAACGTTTAAAATGATTTTGTAGACTGTTTGCTACACTGAACTACTTTAAATAAATTCTATAGACTGCTTGTTGTACTGTAATGTTGAAATAGATTCTGTGGACTGTTTGCTATGGTGTGCTGTTTAAATGGACTCTGTAGGCTGTTTGC